TTGCTTTTTTTTATAAATTACAATAAATTGGTTTGATTAATTTTGTAGTCATTTAGTTTTCACTATACTTGATATTATTGCTTTATTGTAAATATTATTAATGTTTTGTCGCTTTTTGTATAGCATTAATATTTTTAAGTTTGTTATATAATAGTATCTAGTAAAAAGTTATAAATTTTTAAAGATTTATATATAATTATATATAAAAATTTAATAATTGAGATTTAAAAGATTTAAATAAAAATATAAATTATTTATTTTTATTATTTAATATTATAATATATGCAATCCCAAAAGCTTAGTATTAAATATCAATAATTAAATAAAACATTAATTATAAACCTTTTAACTAGTAATATTAATACGTAATATATCGAAAGTGATAAAATTACCCATACTAAGCAATTATTCATCAGCCCAATTTTTAACCCATTCTTTAACGTTTTTCAAAATCTCAATAATCTTTTGCTCATCATCACCAACCTCTTTTTTCAAAGCTTTTTTAGCTTTTTCATAACACATCTCACATTCATCTTTAAATGTTTCAAACATTATAATTTCCAAATATTCTATTGCTAATGCCAAACATAATATTTTTTCATGTTTAACTCCAATAACTTCAAAATCTTTAAAATCTTTTTTATCAAACCAAGAATAAAATTTAGAAGATGGTAAAAATGAACCATCAAATGATTGAAAATTGAGAAAATTATAAAGAGTTTCAATCTTTGGAGGTTTTGATTTGACAGAAATGAATGGTAAAACTTGTTCAAAAGAATCACTAATTTCAGAATCATTCGAAGGCACATAGCGTGTAGGATTATTCAAGTACATAGAGCGCGACTGAAAAGACAGCAGATTATCGCAAGAATTTGGTGGTGCTTGGCAGGGGATGTGATTCGAAGACATAGAGAGAGACTGATGAGATCGTCTTTTTCTCTTAGAACTTGCTGATGAGTGGAGAAAGTGATTCGAAGACATAGAGAGAGACTGATAAGATCGTCGACTTATATTAGAAAGAATTGGACTTGAAGAAAGTGATGCTGCTTTGGATGTTTTTGATACACTAGTAGCTTGCATAACAGAATCACTACCTCCTGGAAATTGAGGTACTAATTCATGAGAAGAACCCAGTAACATTAACAAATTATACATTATACTAAATTGCTTTTGGGTTGTGATAATATATTACTTACAATTCATAGATTCAGAAGAATAAGAACGTGAAGAGGCTTTACGAGGCAGTTATTATCTATGTGTTGTTGGTTAGATAAACTACAGCAGCAGCTATAGATGTACAGTATTCTTAACCGTGGGTTATTAGATGTGGATGTTGTATTTTGTCTAGTTCGGTTCCTGCTTATATGGGTAGGTATATTGTGTTCTCACTTCTAGCTTAATAGCTTTGCACAATATGGTTTCTAGGTTAGATTGTATATATTTTGAGATAATTGTAGAAGTAGTTGAATAGTGATATTTGTTCTGTTTTGTTAGAATCTGTGTACTATCTAATAGTTTGTATAAGTATAGTAGATATGAATCCTTGTAAAGTTGTGAATGTGTTTGTGTTGGTTCTGGTATAGTAGTTAAGTGATAAACTTGGATGGTGAGTAAGTTTATTCTGTAACTCTTGATATTGTGTGTTTGT